TGCGGTTTAGAATAAGCCAACTACAGTCATCGTTGGTTGTCACATAAATTTTCCGTAACCTTTTTCTAAAGCTCATTTAATTTTGTTATCTTTTGGCTAAATATTGTATAAACTTTAGAAGCTCTTTTGCTTTAAAAAAAATCGTCCGTTTAAATCCCAATTCATTTGATTTTGTGTAGTTTTTGAGCTGAGAAATGAGTTACGTCGACAGAAAACAACGTGTTTGACACTTTATTTTGTTATAAGCTACCGTGACTTTTTCATATTTACTGGTAGGCGATCTATTTGAAATGATAGCAGTAAGTCAAATATAGTGCTCTTTATTGTCCAAAAATTTTGCAAATCATGATCGCGATTCCTTCTCCCAAACAAGCCGATCCTAATCTTGACTCGTCGTCACCGAAGGTAACGTCATGCCCATGATTGGAATTTCATTGAAGTGATATCCTTTGGAACAAGGTATGGAGAATATAGAGGCTGTTGAACTCTTTCAAATCATCCTTTTCACAATCTGATGTGTGGGCGTCCTGAAAGAAAGCAATCGAACATGAACCATCTTTAGCAGCATGGCAGGACATAGCATATTTCAATAAACGGAACAACACTATCAAACATCAGCAAGCAAAACGATGTCTCCTATCCAGAAGAAATTCAAAATTCGAGAAAAAAATGTGTGAAGAGCAAGAAAAAAGTAGTCTCAAAGTGTATGAAGCAACCAGTCAAAAATCCAAAATGCATGAAATTAAGTATTAGAACTACTGATAATGTGACAGCCTCATAGTTTTATTCCAACCCGTGGTGTTAACAATGTTCAACTGGACAGAATTTACGCTTTGTCTTCATTGTAAGGCTATGGAATACTTATCACTATTCACAGCCTCGATCTTTCAGATAATTAATATTAGGAAATATTAGCAGTACAGTAATTTTGCCGGCACATACCCTCCGGTTCCGATCTTATTCTTTACCTGCTATCTCTGCCTCAACACGGATAAAGTAGTTCCGCAATGACTTAAAAAATTGCTTGAGCTACTTTTATGCAAGATACTAACTTGATATCTTAACGCTTTGGCAATTTTTATTTGGGGAACATAGTGTCTAGAATTCACTGATCTTGTCATAAAGAAAAAGGTTTTTTGTATTTACAGTATGAAAAAATTGTATCTTGATTTCTAACGTTTAACATACAAGTTTATTACAAAACTGAAACTTGAATAAGGATTATTATGAGTAGTAGAATTGATAAATTATTCTTGGGAATTATAATGCTGAAAACAAAGACAAGGCAGTGTACCGCAATCGCAAACAGTGTTAAATGGAGCAGATCACTGTAAAATCATGATTTTTGATATTTGCTCCTATCAATTGGTAACTCTCCTCGAGCATTGAAGGCATTGCAGCACCAAATGAGCCTTTTCTATTTAATGGGGAGAAAACCAAGAAAATGCGCAAAATTTCTTTGTTCTATGGACTCTAATATTTGCCTAATAAGTTGTTGACCCTGCTGTTTTTTTTTGTCAAAAACACATTCCTTATTCTTCTGCCTCTGCAACAAACGGATGATTGATTAAATCAATTTCTACCGTCTTACCGACCGCAAACAAGTTGTCGCATCGCTCTTGTTGGCCTTGCTGAAGGGTGGAACTGCCTTGTTGTTGCCTAAATTGCATTCAGTCGCTTGAATAGCGAAGGAATCTCTTCGCACTTTCTAATGTATTGCATTCTTGTTCTCTAAGTTTTACAAATTGTCAAGCATCCAAATATAATTAGTTATTGAACAAAACAATCCATCTTCATAATCCTCTTTCTCTTTTTTCTTCATCTTCTCACCTGTAAACCGGTTTCGGTGTACTTTTGTCCTTTCTAAGAAGTTTTAGCGGCATGTTCGCGCAATCTAAGAAAATAGGGGACTGTTCTATATGTAAAGCAAAGCGTTTTTTCTTCTTTTCCTTAGAATTTTCTCTCGAACATTGAGCAGACTCGAAATATAACTCAATGACACTGAAACACATGGACCCTTATACTTGGTAGCACTAAGCATTGCATTCAAAATCGTTTGTGATTTTTCGAATTTTTCCAAAAGCAGTTGAGAACAATTGTTGAGGCTTCAAAACTTCAACTAACCTCATTCTAGGCTCGAGACTAGCCCTTTTATATCCGCTGTACTCGAGATCAAAAAGTTCCTCTTGGCGGGATGAGTTCCCTAATAATTTGTCATGGCAAAGGCCTTCGCAAAAACTTCCTAGTTCAGCTCATATCCTTCAACTTGAATCAGTGCAACTTAACATTAATTTATTTAAAGCAAACTCCTTTGAGTCAGGTAATCTTCTTCATTCTTTATTAGATCAAAAAGCTTTATCATTATTTAAAGCGTAAATGAAGCATACTTTCCAGAAAACCAACCAATTCGTAAGATTTTGGAAATAGATTACGTTTTTGTGCTCTTCTCTTAGCGTCTGTTATGTTAAATTATGGTGCTGACCGATTCCGCAATATTTAGCTGGAAGCTTTTTTGAAGTTTAGTAACGATCACTTCTAGCACTTCGTGAGGATAACGGAACTGCCAAAATGACAATCTCGTACGACGAGGAATTCTCGTCGTTGATGTTGCGCTGGCGTGGATCACTTTGGAAAGCCGTACTCAAGGATCTCATAGCTTTCTACATAGGATATTACATAATCCTTGCTATTCAGGTGGATCACGAAACTTACCAGCTGATTAATTTTCATGAATCATCTTTCAACTCCTTCTTCAGTGGTACGTGCTGGATGAGAAGCAAAAAGAATACTTCACGGGGTGGATTCATTGGTGTGAAATTGGATCGCAGTATATTCCATTGTCATTCCTCCTCGGTTTCTTCGTCTCAGTGATCGTTGCTAGATGGTGATTCAATTTTCGTTAATCATCTTTTTCAGCAAAGTCCTCCAGAGGAAGCTTCTAGAGGTATTTGCTTAACAGTACAGAGTTGACTGACTACCACACCGATTAGTTTTGTGAAAAGGGCTTATAGTGGATAACCTAATAGTTAGAGTTAAAGTGTCGTTTCTTTATGCCTCGCTAAACCGTGTTTGTGGTATGAATGGTTTTGATTAATAAGGACCAAGACCTCCGAACCAGTTAGTTTTGCTGCACAGTAAACAAGGTTGGAAATGAACAAAAGAAAAAGACTAGTGTCTGCTGCCCCAAATTAAACGTAAAAAAGTACACCTCACTAGCTACTTCTTACGGGGGACCTTCTTCGAAAACGTCCAATTATTGCTGAATTAAAAGCTCAGAGTTAGCTCGATAGCATCTGCACACTTCAAATGCTATGATTGTAAAGTTTTTCATTTGGATCAGGTGTTGAAACGGAAAGATAAGATATATTTTGTTAAAATTCTTATACAATATTTTTATAGCACCACAAGGAACTATCCATTAAAAACAGTTTCTTTTACGATATTGAGATTTTTTAGTTCTTAGATAACATTGATTATTTCTGTCTTTCTCTTTCTTACAATTTTGCATATTAACTAGTATTAGCCAACAAGGGAAAGAAACTAATTTTAGAAATTTATAGAGTTTGGGAGCTCGAGAAAAGTCACTCTTTTACCAGAAGTTTTAAGAATCTTAGTTCCGCCACCATCAAATTTAAGCGTGATCATGAAACATTCTCATAACTTAAGGAATATAACTGCCAAAAAAGCTCTCCGCTGCACAACAAAACTTGGCCAAAAATCTAATATAGAACTGTTGAGGTGGGAGCAGTTCAACTGGATCTCCTGGCCCGACAAAATGATGATGATGGTTTCTGCTTGTCTCCCAGGAAAGGAAAATCTCGCTATACGTCAGGCAATCGCACGATGGTCATCGTTGCAAGTAAGTCAAAAGTCAAAAATGCAACTATTTACCATAGTACAATGAGTCTAGGCAGCTGTCGCATGGTCAGGGATTTCAGTTCGAACACTAAAGAGATTTCCCACCGAAAGGCATATGGTGGAGGCAAAGTTGATGACCGAAGAAGAGTACGACATGTATATGAATTTGGATGCTCCTCATGGAAAATGGTTAGGAGAGTTTATAAAAACCATAACTCTACGAAGTATTACAGAACGTTCCTTGACTTTTTCTGCCAAACTTCACGCGTCTTCCCATTTTTTTAAACAAGCATTAAATATACCTATGCCATTTTCCTAACATATTGTGCGCTCACGTTTCTCCAAATCTTTCGATTTCACTCTCGATGATTGTGATTTTGCAACTGAGAAGCGGACTCCTATCTGTCGTTTTTATGGAGAAGCCCGTTTGGTGTACTTAGGATCCGTTAGATGTACTGCCAAATCCATTGGACATTACTGTTAGCGGAGCCTTGCTGGAAACATCGCAGTCTCACATTTCTTCCGGCGGCGTAGCAGGAGTTCTTAAAGCCTCGCCGCTTCTCCCCGGAGCTAGTAATTAGGCGTCCTGGGGGAACCTAACACCTTCCAACCGCTAGGCTCTGGCTCCGCCACTCTCCACGGATTGGTCTGAACAGGGCCAGAAGGGATGTGCGAACTCAAGTGCAAGAAAAAAAGAAGGTGAAAAAGAGAATCTCTTGTAATTTTCTAAATGTGTCTTCGTGGATGTTCCTCTTACCTCCTTGGTTATTATTTCATATCTAGGTTTGCCACTTCTCCCACAACGCTATTTCATATGAATCGCACTTCATGTTAGATCACTACTCAGCGTCCTACACATAGCGCAGCTTTGCACACTCTTGAAGATAACAAGTCCTAGCCATATCAAATCTTCCTCTTTCACGGCTTATCACAAGTGTGAACAAATCTATTCGATTTTTATCTATAAATTCTAATTCGATT